ACGGGCCGGGATCAACAAAGGTTATGGGTGCCCCTCGGAGGCGGATTGTGATGTGTCCCCCTCTCGCCATGCTCGGCCACTGATGGACTGGCTCCTCGAAATCGCTCGGATAAAAGCAGACCCTCGGAAGATGTACTGGGGAATCGCGGCCTGGGAGTTTTGGGTTTGAGAGTGTGGAGACACTGGGAGGAGACTGTTCCCCCGTTGCAGGAGGCAAATGCGTGCAGGAGGTGGGCGTGAGAGGAGAATGAGCCCTCCTGGTCTAAGATGCGTGTGGCCTGGGTTCTGAGTCGAGGAACGTCGAGACACCGACGGAATCGTAGCCAGCCAGAGCAACCTTATTTGTGGATGATACGAACTTCGATGTTTTTGTGGCTCTTAGTATCCAGCTGTTCGCACAGCTCTCATCAAAGTTTGTCGTACAAATGAGCCGTCGAAGCGAGCCAGGCTTAGTTTGTAGCCTGCATCATAATCTTTATGGGAGTCGTGAGAGTCTTCGTATAAAAGCTCCAACACGAATCATGGCCCGAATCCTGCCACGAATCGGCCCCCCCATGGCTTGTAAGAAATACTGTCTTTAGAAAGGGTCCCTACGGCAAATTTCGGCAAACTGGCCCATCGTCAAAAGCCCAGGTCCCTGTGCAGACCGTCTCTTCCTCTCCCTCTCCTCCCTCTGCTGCGACGCGCTCCGCGGCGGCGGTGGCAGCAGGCCACTGCCCCGTGAGCCAGCGTTGGAAGCCGAAGGCGGCGGCGGTAGCGAGAAGGATGAAAGGCCGCCGCCCGAAGGCGCTGTGTCGTTTTGCTGTTGCTGGGGCCGCCTGCGACCGAACTTGCCGCCAAGGTTGACGGTGATGGTCTCGCCCTCCTTCAGGCTGAGATCCCTCTTCTGTTCCTCCTTCGCCGGCGCCGGCTGCGTGTTCGAGTTCGTGTGGCCGCTGCTGCTGCGGCCCCCGGCACCGGGCCCGCCGTCGAGACCAAGGCTCTTCTGGGCCTCCTGGGTGGCGACGCCAAAGTCAAAGGCGTCACTGCGCTCCTCGAAGCCGATGCCGAGGAGGGCCTTGCGGCCAGAGGGGTCGCGGACCTGCAGGGCGAAGAAGCGCGAGCTGTCGAGGACGGGCTCGACGACGGCAGGGGCGGTGTAGGGGGCGGCGGCGAAGAGCTGGCCGGTGGCGGGGTCCTCGAGGACAATGTCGACCTTGATCTTCTCGCGGCCGGCCGAGGCGTCGTCCTCCCACGCCGTCTCGAGCACGCGCAGGCGGGCGGTGAAGATGAGGCGCTGGTTGTTGTCGGCGGTCCAGTGGGCGGCTGTGTGGCCCTTGTTGCTCGTGAGCGGGGGGATGTTGTAGACGTGGACGGCGGGCGCGAGAAAGAGGATACGCTGGATGGCGTCGGGCGGCAGGGGCTGGCCCGTGGCTATGTCAATGGCTGGCTCCATGGTGACGGGGTTGTCGGCGTAGGTCCTTCTGACGATAGAGGAGAGAGCTTCATCGTGGGCAACGGCCGAATGCGTTTCCCTGGAGAGGTACCTTAGAGAGGTACCTACCGAGCTATACGAAGGAGGGGCCCGGCTGTCGCAACGAGCGAGCGGTGTTCAGTTTGGTGGAGAAGGGGCACCTTGGGTACCCAGGCAGGCACAGAGGAGGGTGGCAGGCACGACTGGACTACCCCGCTACTGCGATGAATCAGGTTAGTGAGGGGCAGAACGAGCACTCAAATGAGGGGCCGTCCAGGTTGGAATTAAACACTAAGACCCTGTGAGAGCAACGACCTGAACCACAAGCTTTCTGGGTACCTGTGTCAATCTCGAGGCCCCGACACCGACGTCTTCGATCTCTGGTAATTTTGAGTCACCCATCTCCCACGACGAACCAGCTGGATCAGGTGCCTGCCCGTGGCTTGATAAACCCATCGCCGAAAGAACGTTGCGTACCTCTCACCGAGGCATTGTCACATTGATCATTCCATCAAGGGCTCCTCCCAATGGCGATCGAAGACTCTGCACGTATGCTTCGCTCGCTACATCTCCCTGATCTACCGACGCCGTGTGTGGCTGACCTTTTTCATAGCAGTCGCTGCGAGCGAGCAGCAGCCGACGACGACAACGTCCCAGCCCACGGCCGAGACACAGAGCCTGCCCATCCGAAGTCAAGAAAAGACAGCGAGCGGCGACTTTGACATCGTCGCCGAGTACCACTCCCATCTGCGCGACCACGAGTTCACCAAGCCTGTCGCCGCCATCGAGGCCCTCGTCGCCCTGCTCGCCGCCAGCAGCTATACAACCGTCTTTGAGACACTCGAGACGGTCAAGCGTCATTCAGAAACCCTCCGCGCCTCGGTCAAGAACCCGGTGCCGCTCCAGGCCGGCACCGACCTCTTCCTGCAGTACCTCGTCTCCTCGCTTAAGCAGCAGGAGGCCAGACGGCAGCGCCCGGCGGCGGCACCACCCACCACCAGAGCTTCGAGGATGTGCTCCGCCACCTCGTCCGCAACGGCCGCCTCTTCGCCGACCGCGCCATCGCCGCCCGTGACGGCATC